TGCTGGGGCGTAACATGCAGGGGTAACAGTGGAGTCTGATGTAGGAGTTTGCCCTGAAATGGAAGGGTTGACAGTTCAAGCCTTCTGGCTCTTAGTGCTCTCTCTCTGGCTTTCAGTGTCATTGTGCCCTTGGGCACAATGTCTCCTGACTTGAAAATGTGCTATATAAGCTTTATATATGCAAGCTTTAGGTAATGATAGCTGTCAATTATATCATTTGAATAATTGCATATATTCTTGAACTATTTCTTTCTTAATCATGATATTGGCTCTTTGGAGCTTCATCATCACAAATATATGTTTCAAAATTTCAATGAGGATAAAGAACATAATATGGAAATATATCTGGCCTAACTTTTCAAAAATCTGGATTTCAACTAGTGTGAAAGTATGGAACAAACTTTTTGAAATAAAACAATGTCAAAGAGTATAGCTGTTTCAGAAAAGGCTTAAACTGGTCTTCTTTAATTGATATGAGATTGAAGAAGGGTGGTGAACATCAGTGGGTAGTCTTAGCCACTGTAAAATGGGTGTATGCAAACATTTTTGAAATGTTTGTAGTTGATGGGACTATGGGTAACCCCAAACAATTTTCCAGAAATTTGAATTTGAACACAGAAACAGTGTTGGCAGTTAAGATAAAATCCAACATCTTCGGTAATCTTATTTTATTTTTTTCTTATTTATCATGAAGTCTCCACTATTTTCTTTAAAGCTTAGAATAAGGAGAACACATTCTGTATAACTTTATATCTACCTGTTCCAATGACAGGATGGGTTCATCGATTTATTTATTTTTTTCACTAAAACACACGAGAAAAAAAAAACAAATAAAGCATTAGAAAGGCAGAGAAAGGATGCAATTCCCTCTGATATGCTTAAGGCTGAGGACTAGGTTACTGGTACTATGACGTAGTATGAGTCATAGATTTAAACTGTGTTTTAGGGGGTTTAGATAGCCTTAATGCCATTATCTTTCCAGATTACGTTTACTCCAAGGTTATATGTTAAAACTTCTATGATATTGGTTATGACTACATGGGAGCTGATTTCATCATCAGCTTATCTCACCACTCCCTCTCAAAATGACGTTATGCATTGTATTGTTTGGAATTAAGTTTTACTTTTAGGTTTTACAAGAGTAGGAAAAGAGGTTTGTGTATAAAGTATATATAATGTGTATAAAGTTATGGATACTTATATGACTCATATGAATAATTAATATATAGTGTAATTACCGTGGTTTTTGCATTGACAACAAACTCAACCGGGACACAGCTGTGAAGCTGTCTACAAGAAGAGAAAGAGCAGATTGTGCTTAAAAGTTTAGGTCCTTCAGTGTTTGCAGCAAGATGTTGCATGTATTCTATAGGTCTGTTGTGGAGAGTGTGATCTATTTTGTCTGCTGGGGTAACAGCATCAGGGCAAATTGCTTTAAGCTCAACAAGCTGATCTGCTCTGGAGCATTCCTTTGAACCTCTAGAGATTATTTTTTAAAGAAGAAATCTTCATAAAATGAAGACCATTATGGACAAAGAGGACCTTTTTCTTCAGAAGATTTTAAATAACAACAGAGTGTCTTAGGTCATATCTGGTGCAAGACAGACTGCTACAAAAGATCCTTCCTGCCTACAGCTATCAACATTTACAACTTGAAAAGCTATAAGGAGTTAGAAAAACATTTAACCTCTCTTTAGGATAAATAAAGTAATAATGAATATGCGTTGTACAAACTAAAATGCATCAATATTTTGTTTAAAGCAGAGGTATCCAGGGTTTGAGATATTAAGGATAACTAAGCTTAATCTTTGTGATTCTTGCTTTAATCGTAGCTGATGCATTTTCAAACAATAGTGTACAACAAACTAATGTTGCAGCGTCTTAATCCTGGCTTTAAGCCTTTAAAATTATTTTCTTCTGTTTTTTCTGCTTTATACACAGCACATATATAAAGGAAAAAACAACATTTACAGCTGCATATTAATAAAAATCCCTTCACCTACCAAATGTCAGTGGTCTAATCTGCAATTGTCTATCTGACCCGGTTTTGTCAGAAGAGCCCACTTTAATCTTCTACCCAGTGACCCAGAAATGATGGTTCTTTTTATTAACAAGGAAAACCTCAGAAACCTTAGTTTACTACAAAAACGGCTGGTGTCTGGTACACTGCCTCTTTTCCACCTGTGAGAAAAGCCCCATTTCATGGACTTAGGCCTGGTCACTTAATACAAATTTAATAGAAAGCAACAAGGAATGCACAGAAAAAACACAAAAAACTGAAAAAAAACAAAAAAAGTATTTATTATTATTACATCAAAATCAATCTGTTTGGATTAAAACACTCGCAAATATTTAAACATATGGGGAGAATGTGAGAAAAGCCCCATTTCATGGACTTAGGCCTGGTCACTTAATACAAATTTAATAGAAAGCAACAAGGAATGCACAGAAAAAACACAAAAAACACTGAAAAAAACAAAAAAAGTATTTATTATTATTACATCAAAATCAATCTGTTTGGATTAAAACACTCGCAAATATTTAAACATATGGGGAGAATGTAAAATATAAACACAGCGTCAATCAAACAGTTAATTTCTTCTTGAAACATGATATATCAATCTAAAGTTTCAGAGCAATCGTTTTTAACATGCATATTTTAGGGCAAATATAAATCTGTTCATCTCATGATCTTAAACTACAGATAAAATTTGAACCACAGACTAATAATAATATAACACTGCAACAAAAACTAACAGTAGCAGTTATTTTTATCAGCCTCTCGGTCTCTGTGTCCATTTGTGTGTTGACAATCTTGTTGACTTATACTGTTTTACAGACCCAAGCTTCCATATGAATGCTGAATGGTTTGTTGGTCTATTCTGCTCCCTGGTGGACACAATATTATATATATGGCCTATTACTGTTAGCCTAATTAAATACAATACTTTTTAAGATTCCTGGTGTACAAAGCCTGTCCCCCCAACATCAATCTAATATGACTTTATTTATATCTCAAAAATATATCCTTGAAAACCCATATCGGTCCTCCTTTAATATTACTTTTACTATATTTACATCCCTCTAATTTTGCCCTCATGGTGAATGGAATTGTGTTTTCCTTCATACAAGCATTAAGTGCCTCCCTGTGCTGATAACAAAACCATGCTCCATTCTTTTTATGAGTGACACCATTCCTAGTCAGTCTCTCCTATATACGTAATAAAAACAGTCCTTTGTGCTCTCATCCCAGTCTTTCTGCCAAGCCTTTTTCAAACTATTCTTAATACCTTTTTCTTCAGCTTTGAGACTGCAGGGAAATTTATATCCCTTGCCTCCAGCTTTGCATAATTAAATATTTTCTACCCTATATATACACTGTTACCCATAAAAGCACACATGTTTCTCCGCTCCTCGTATTCTATTAATTGTTTCTGCTATAAACCCTTTCTCACCTGTAAATAGATATTCTTAACACTAAAATGTATACTACCTGAATCAGATGTATTCACTTTTCTTATGGATACACTGTCCTCCGCAGAAAATAACCCCAGTTGAAGTCCAAGATACTCCCATTTAAAGACAAATAAATTATCATTTGCCCTCTTACTAATTTTCACTTCCACATCAGTAATAATAGAGGCTACCCTGACCCCTCCATCCCTCATTCTTGATGCGTACGTATACACTTCTAAAATGTAAGGACTCAATTCATGGTCAGAGGCGTAGCCAGAAATTTTTTAAAAGGGTGGCCAGGCAATAACCAATGTACACTAAGGGATGGCCGAAAGCGGATAGGCACCAGAACCTCAGGGTCAATCTACACTGTTCCAACAGGAAAATTAACAAGCAAAAAATCCATATTTTCTAAATAAAGACAAACTTTACTTTCCTACAGCCTTTGCTAACAAATAGACGCATATATTTAAACATCCATCATTTCTAGATAAAAGGTAAAGTGGATAAAACTCTTTCAGATTTGAGTTCTGGAGCGTAAATCTTTTCCATTGTCATTACTTGCCTACTTGTATCAATAAACATTCTGCATAAAACTAATACTTACAAGCACTAACATCTACATAAATTGATTATTTGATAAGTTTTTATTAAAATTGTTATTTATCTTTGATTTCCCTGAAGACTCCTAGATGAATTGTAGAGACGCATTAATTTTCTCTCTACCCCAGATAACACCAAATCTAGTTCTGAAAAGAGCATGAATTCCGTACTTATCATCTTTGATTTTTGTATATTGATGTGTATAATTAACCACCAAAAAATAAAATATTTTGAATTCCACTTGAGAGTATTTGTGCCACCATCTGTATTAGGGGGGGGGGAAATGGTAGGGGTGGCCAATTATTGGCTAAGGGTGGCCATGGCCACCCCTGGCCCCCCATCTAGCTCCACCCCGGTTCATGGTTAATTACTCCAGCCTCTCTACCGCCTTCTATACCATCCACCCAAAACTTTACTTTACGATGTTCTAAAGCAAGACAGAAATAATTAATCTGATCTTTAATACATAATAAATAAAATTTTATTATTCTTTTTTTTAATTTCTAGTTAATTATTACATTGAGAATATAATTTTAGATATCTTAGAATTAATCTAAATCAGTTTAAATGTAGCCTACTGCACAAATATAAAAATACATTTATCAAAACATTATCTATAGGGATGTAGCATTTTGTGGCGTTAATATTTTGTCTTTTTTTTTCCTTAAAGGCGCAATTTTCTTTAATAAAGCTTGTTATACGCTGCTGCATTTATTTACAGCACAGATTTTGATGAAGTGCATTGTATGCAGCGCTTTATTAAACCTGGGCAATTCCACGTTGCTTAATCCGAGGATAGTACTTCCGTTTTACAAACGCGGAAAGAAACTAGTGATGCTGCGTTCAAACTTTACTCGGATATTTTAGTTTCTACTACTGAGCCATTCTACATAGTAGTGGAGATGATTCAACCAATGCTATTTCTTTAAAATTTTGAGCTTCCGGTCTGTAGCGGTGACGTGTCTCTCTCCTCCTCCCTGGCTCTGTCAGTCATTGAGATTCACTCCGTGCTGGTTTCCACCGAAGAAAAGGATATACGTTGTTTGTTAAGACATCATGGGCAGTAAGTGGTACTTTTTAATCTAGTATTTATTAGACCGATACCTATATCATCAAAAAGAACCCTCGTGTTGTTATTTAATCTGTTCTCCAACTTAGTTAGCTTACTCTCTCATGGCTCACTTTAGCTTACATTGCTAGCTAGCGTGTGATTTGTTCCTTTTTTTTACCGTTATGGTTTCTTTTCAGCGAGAATTTATTAATGAAAGTAACTCCATTTACTTGTAGAATTTGAAAACGCAGTTTATTACCTTTCTTTTTTTTTTAAAGGCTGTCGCTGTTAGCTTTAAATCTTTTAAAAAGCTAACCACCCATTCATAGACATTGACTGTCAAGTGATGACGACGCATAACAGAGCTGCTGCTGTCATCTTATCGTGTTCATAAAACTACTACAAATGCGCGGCACGGCGGAATAACTTCAACACTAGCAGAAATAATGCTCTATTTTTTTTTTCTGTATTTTGTTTTATGGTTTTTGTTATTTCATTTGAGTCCCCCCCACCCCCACTCAATGCCACGTCCTGTTCATCAATCCATCATTCCCAGTGAAATACTGATTATTTTTCTTTTTTCCAGTTAAATTCTTGGAGGTGATAAAGCCGTTCTGTGCGGTGCTGCCAGAGATCCAGAAACCAGAGCGAAAGGTGAATATTAATTTATATTTAACATTATTTTTCATTTATAGTGTTATAATTTCCTTTGCATTCTAGCTTAGTTTATCCTGCTTCCTCCTTTATGTTTTAATCACAATGTGTGTCACCAACAGATTCAATTTAAAGAAAAGGTGCTATGGACTGCAATTACGCTCTTCATCTTTCTAGTTTGTTGCCAAGTAAGTGAAAAAAAAAAATTACATGGAACATTGTGAATGCTTGTGGCTCTCTACTCTGGTTTTGCATTATTTTATAACTATACATCTGTTTCCATAAGTAGGAGGTCAGCTCATATGTAGTGTTATGTATATGTATATAAATGCTAAAACAATTATTTAGAACAAATACCTACTGTTTCCTATTTGTAGACATTTCTAATTATATTCTCCCAATTTAATTTTTTTTATTAAATCAACATAAATCACAGCACAGGATACATTTGCACAGTTAATGTACCAACCCAAAAACCTCCCTCCCCTCACCCTCCTCTCCCTCATTCATATTAATTTACCCATGTTAAATGAATTAATTTATCCACAAATTACATTTTAAGAGTAAACTTTTGAGAACTTCCCATCTATTTTTAATGTTTTCTGCCTTCATTATCGGTTTCAACCATATAACTTTCTAAAGCTCCGTAAATGCTAAATAAATGTTTTAAAGAAATTAATACTAAGTGAGAATCTATTTTTGGCTTTGAAAAAATAAACCTTTTATGGAGTACAATGATTAAATTAACTTAATCGTGACTGTAGATAAAGTCTCCGAGTAAAACAGAAACCAAATCTTGGTTCATAGACAGACAATACCAAAATAAATGCAGGGTGGATTCAGACTCCCAGCAACATAAACTGCAATCATCTGACTTTGCCGTATTCCATAGTTTTTTCATTTTTTCAGTGTGTAAGAAATTATATAGATTTTAATTTCAAAATAACGATTTTGCACATCTACAGTAGTTTTATAGATTAGTTTAAATATTTTATCCCAGGGCAGTGAAAGTAGTCCTCCCATTTTCCATGTGTCATATGGGGCAACCTTCAGTGTTTTTATTCAGTATATATTTTTTTTCATTTAATTTAATTCCCAATTTTTTTTTTGTTGGAGATTTACAAACTTTATCATTTAGTAGTTTCATTGTTAATTATTACTTTCCATTTTTTTTCCAATTACTCCAGTGAGTTTGTTAAAGGAAAAGTTTGAATAAGCATCACCATACATGGTTCTAAATTCCACTAGTTTAACTTTACTACCCTTTTTTTTTTTTTTGCTTTTGATTTAATTGATTGTTCTATTTCACTATTTTAATCTTGTAATAACAT